ATAACATCATCCCACATATTTGCATGTTCAGCCTTTAAAAATTCCAAGAAGGTCGCAGCATTTAACCTTGCAGGCAAAAGGTAGGGTCCAAATAGTCGATTACGGTAGATACCAATCCACACGTTCACACTAAATTCATGCTGAAAATTTCTTTCCCGAACTGAATGTGGATTTTCATGCGACCAAATATGTTGATTATGAAAATTTACCACTCCACGTCTAGTGAAGCATGACTCATCGGTCCATAAAACGTTACTTAAAAACTCCCTATTATTATCAGTTCTATCAAGAATCCACTGACAAAAAGTGATTCTACGTTCTCCGTCCCCTGGCTGTAGTCCTTGCACAGGTTGCAAATGGTAAGGACGTCTATGGTCATTTATAAGAACACAGTGAACATTGCTTGCTGAAATTCCCAAGGTACCAGAAACTCTCCTAACACTTGTGGTCGGATCTCTATCAAACTCACGCAGAATCATACGGGTAAATCTGCGCTGACGAACATTTATGTTTTGATCCCTTTGGAGATTTCCAAAACCATTTTCAATTATTTGGCGATGCACTCTTACAAATACTGAGCGAGTTGGATGTCGTCTGTTTGGAAATTTTCGTGCGTATTCTTTGGCTACTTCTGCTGCGTTTCCATTTACAAAGCCATACACAAAATGAATATCCACTAACTCTTGATTGGAGAATAAAAATGGCATTTTTATAAAACTTACAAAAAAAAAACAGGTAAAAGAAACTAAATTTCGTGCATTCACAATTGCAAAAAAACATTTCAGGTTTCAACAGACAACAAAACTAACTGTCAACTAATTGACGTTTAACCTTATTCTGCTTTCAATTTCAAAAATATTTGCAGGCACAGCCTACTTGTAAAAATTATCGAGATACTGATTTTTGAACGCTATTTTATCATAAATAATTAAAAATGCATCGAACCTTAAAAATCGAAATATCTCAAAAACGGCTAACTATAACGAACATTCACAAGAGAGATTTTTTATGTTGAAAAGTGCGAAGAATCAGTTTTTTTATTCAGAAAGAAAAATTTTTCGGTCATTTTAATACACTACAGGTACAGTAGAGAGCGCCCTCTAGCGGCTACAGTAAAACTCTGCCCATGGTTCGTTTTGTCGTATCAAAAAAACTTGTATACCAATTTTCACTATTATACATCAAATATTGTTCGAAATATTTAAAAAAAACTATTTTAGAAGTAAATTTAAACACCCTGTATTTCGGAAGCCAAGCATTTTGCGACACATGTTTATATAGACTTTATGCGTTAATTTTAAAAGTTCTATCGAATCTTAAAGTTATGCAACAATAAACTGAAACACCCTGTAGAATATAGCCGCGAATAAAATATGTTGGTACGGGAGCTACTACAGAATAAACTTGTGTCCTTTTCGAAGTATAAACAAATTTCACCTCTTGAGAAGTCTGGTGCATCCATACTGCCATGCAAAAGCTTATGGATGAATGTCAGGCCCGTAGTGGAACATCTTAATTGTAGAGATTCTAGGTTGAAACGTCGCAGCTGAGCAAATTGACTGACCCCTCGTTCTGGATATACACCATCAATTTTATAAGTAAAATATTTGAAATTTTCTTTGTACGTTTTAAGAGTAAAGGTTCCATATAAAAAAATGTACTCAGGGTTTCATCGCACCAGGGAAATAAAAAGAATTTTTAGTGCTGCTTCGCTTCATTGGAAAAAGACCGGCAGTTACACATTATAAGCCCTAGAACCCGTGTCGCTTCGGAAGACAAAAGTTCAACCTGTAGGAAAATGTCAAGATTTTAATCTATACTAAGTGACATATAAATCCGAACACCCAGTTTAAATGGTTTTATTTTAATGAAAGTTGGTGAATCTATTTACCTTACTGTAAATAAATAACAAGTGAAAAATTTTTCAGCCTTATCAGTTGGACATTCCGGTTTTTATACTGCTTTCTTTTAATTCACTAACGCTCTAAAAATGAATATTTCAGCCGCAGTAAAGAATCAACGTTGGCGGATTTTGGTTCTTGACATCCTTTACGATCGGTTACGATGCCTAGAGTACGGAGCTACCTGTACGATTTCGTCAACTTAGTGAGTTTGATAGGGGCCGTATAGTGGGACTTCGGGAAGCTGGACTTTCTTTTCGGGCAATTGCAGTTAGAGTGCAAAGAAGTGTAGACACTGTGGTTAGGTGTTGTCAGGCATGGCTTCGAGAAGGCCGTACGCAAAGAGCAAGGGGCACTGGACGCCGCCGTAGAACAACAGACCGTGAAGATCGCCGCCTAAGATTATTGGCCTTAAGGGACCGTTTCTCCACTACCAGGTCCATTGCAAATGAATGGTTTGCAGAACACGGAAGACCTATTGGCATGCGAAGTGTTTACCGACGAATGAGAAGTTTTGGCTTGTTTTCATACCGGCCACACTGGGTCCTCCCTTTAACTCGAGAACACCGACGTAATCGCCTTGAGTGGTGCAGACAACGGTCACTCTGGGATCAGGAATGGAACAGTATTGCCTTTAGTGACGAGTCTCGATTTTGTTTAGGCATGCACGATGGTCGTGCCAGGGTTAGAAGGCGACGTGGTGAAAGGAGGAATCCACAGTTTTTTGTTGAAAGACATGTTCATCACACTGTTGGAGTTATGGTTTGGGGTGCTATAGCTTATGGTTCCAGGTCTTCATCAGAGGTAACATGAACGCGCTGCGTTATATCCACGAAGTTCTAGAACCCCATCTTTTACCCTATCTTGACACCCTGGCAGATCCAACTTTCCAACAAGATAATGCCCGACCACATGTTGCAAGAGTCACAATAGACTTCTTTCAACATAATGATGTCACATTGTTACCATGGCCACCAAGATCTACCGACTTATCCCCAATTGAGCACGTGTGGGGTATGATGGGTAGGAGAAGCACTTCGAGAGGAGTTGGTGGTTGCCTGGAATGAGATACCACAGGAGGACATTGACCACCTGATCAGAAGCATGCCTAGGCGCGTTGGAGAATGCGTAGCACATCAGGATACATCCACACATTATTAAAGGTCAAAGGGCTTTAAAACAGTGCAATCATTTTGAAATTTTTATCATTTACTTATTATGCTTCATTAAGTACTCATACAAAATTTTATTAAAATAAAACCATTTAAACTGGGTGTTCGGATTTATATGTCTCTTAGTATATATTCTATCCAAATCTGCATTATTTGCGGAATAATCAAACAAAATTGAGTTAAGCATCACACTTGGAAATATTTAAGAAGAGACAGTTATTGTGACACCACTGTGTCATAGTATCTACTCATAGATCCTTCTGAAAGGTAATATAGTTCTCGAAATTTGTAATTTTTGGCGTAGATTTCCAGATCATCCCCAAATAGTAGACTGAGACAACTTAGTGACGCGGTAAGGTTATTTATGAAGATTAAAGAAGCGCCTAGGTTTCATCCCTGCGGCACGTCAGAGGAAACAGTATAATTTGCTGAACAATATATATATCATAATAATAATATTGCGTTCTATTGAAAAAATATGAGTTTAGGAGACCGACTAACGGGTCACTGAGTCCGAAGTAATGAAAGCTGACTATTATAAGATGATGGTTTAATTTATCAAAAGCTTTGCTAAGATCTATGTGAATAACTTTAATTTGCTGTTCATTGTCTATCAATTTTACTATGTATTACGTAATTATCATTAAGTTTGACGTGGTCTGTCTACCTTTCATGAAGGCATGCTGTGATTGTGTGATTAGATTTCTAACATTCTTAAAGATAAAAGTATAATAGCCATTTCAAAGGCTTTCTCAAAGTTACTTAAAATACTACTATATAAAATGCTATGAAGGGTCTTCAAAATCAAATACCACACTGCTCCTCATACCGTTTAAAAGAATGTTACATGGTGGTGCCCAGCCATCATCTTGAAATTCACAACAGTTACGAGGGATGTCTTTTAAGTTTTGCATATATACTAAGTGACATATAAATCCGAACACCCAGTTTAAATGGTTTTATTTTAATAAAATTTTGTATAAGTACTTAATGAAGCATAATAAGTAAATGATAAAAATTTCAAAATGATTGCACTGCTTTAAAGCCCTTTGACCTTTAATAATGTGTGGATGCACCCTGATGTGCTACGGATTCTCCAACGCGCCTAGGCATGCTTCTGACCAGGTGGTCAATGTCCTCCTGTGGTATCTCATTCCAGGCAACCACCAACTCCTCTCGAAGTGCTTCTAGAGTCTGAGGAGGACGTTGCAAATTGAGCAATTTCCTACCCATCATATCCCACACGTGCTCAATTGGGGACAAGTCGGGAGATCTTGGTGGCCATGGTAACAATGTGACATCATTATGTTGAAAGAAGTCTATTGTGACTCTTGCAACATGTGGTCGGGCATTATCTTGTTGGAAAGATGGATCTGCCAGGGTGTCAAGATAGGGTAAAAGATGGGGTTCTAGAACTTCGTGGATATAACGCTGCGCGTTCATGTTACCTCTGATGAAGATTAAAGGTGTCCTGGAACCATAAGCTACAGCACCCCAAACCATAACTCCAACAGTGTGATGAACATGTCTTTCAACAAAAAACTGTGGATTCCTCCTTTCACCACGTCGCCTTCTAACCCTGGGACGACCATCGTGCATGCCTGAACAAAATCGAGACTCGTCACTAAAGACAATACTGTTCCATTCCTGATCCCAGAGTGACCGTTGTCTGCACCACTCAAGGCGATTACGTCGGTGTAAAGAAATAAAGACAATAAAGTCATTTAAAACTACCTACCGTGTTGTTTTATTTCCATATGCAAAACTTAAAAGACATCCCTCGTATTTTTTCAGTAAAATATACTACTGATGCATCAATTTCTTCACCCCGAATATCAGCTTGCTTACTCGACCTGTTTGAAAAATAAGTAAACTACTATATGTGAATTTTGCTTAACAGTACGAGTACCGTCGATTCAAAGGGTTCCCTAGACTATGCGGGAAATAACATTCAGGCACAACACCGTTAGACGGGCACTCTTGTCGCTCGAGTGAACAAAGCTTCTGGCGAGGACTTGCCGTTGTATTGAAGAGGTGTGCGGCAGAGGTTGCTTCAGTTCTTTGCCGTCTATTCTAGTGTTAGAATCAAAATAATGAAATTACGGACGTTAATTTTTGACAGACAAATTTAGTAAATACAACCCCGACCGCCCACGGTCGGCACGCCGGTGGTCGATCGAAGCCAGTCTGTGCGTACCGCTCGAATAGTACGGAGCCTGTCGTGGTCTGTGTTTTGCTAGTTGTCTTATCTTATCACCAAAATTCTATCATCGGAAGTGGAATTGAATCTGCGTCCACGCTGTAAGTCCTATTGCAATGTTTATGTATATTGAATGCAGCAGGATATCTGTTATTGTGGCAGTTATTTTTTCTATGCCATTGTTTTGTTTTTTGCTGTTATTATTTTTGTTACTCGCCGTATTGGTTGTACATACATACCAGATATAATCAGAGACGAACTGATTACACATTTCATAGCGTCTGTCGGTTCGGTGATGTAAATAAAGCATATATGGAATTGTTTTGGGCACGTCTTGCTGTGAGAATCTTGTTTTTTTTTTAACTGTTGACATTAGTAATGCATGGTTGATTAAGGATTATTGATATAAAATACATTTAAGTAAAAAAAAAAAAAAAAAAAAAAAAAAAAAAAAAAAAAAAAAAAGAACAATACCATTGCATGAGATTGTTTTAACCACACTTGAATCACAATTCATTTATAATTGGCAATTAAAAGGAAGCAGCAGTGGAGTATATTGTAGGTACAATAATTGAATCGGAAGATTATGTTATTCATTTAGATTTTCTACACGTGCAACAAGCGCATATCCATATTGAATGGATTTCCAGAAATATTTTCTTTTAACACGATTTGCTATACAAGCTAGGTCTCTTTGCTGTTATATGATTTTATCAGTCGGGTCAATTTCTGAGTTTGTGTTTACACTTACAGGTAAAAGATAAGTAAATAAATAAATCATCATGGAAGGGCTTGGTGCTAGTACCTCAACCAAGGATTTTCTGACGGAGCTAGTTAAGGCTCTCAAATGATCGCGCACAGCACCTGAACAAGTAGATTTACCAATTTTCAGACCAGATTTGAGCGATGCAAAAAAAAATGGCTGGCCGAGGTAGAAAGTATAAAAAGTGAATTTGAATGGTCTGACCAACAGACTATCGTGAGGTTGGGTCGATTTTTAACGGGAATATCTAAAACGTGGTTTGAAAACTGGGCACCAGATGTAAAAAACTGGGACACTTTTGTACGTGACTTTTTGGAGGCGTTTCCACCAAAAAAAATTTTGGGTGAATTACTTCTGAAAGCGGCTCAATTCAATAGTCACAACTGCAATACGTACGAGGCGTACGTCTTTGAGAAAGTTACTCTGCTTCGAAACCTACGGGCACACTGGGACGAGACAGATCTTGTTGAGATAATCATCCACGGAATTATGGAACGTGACGTGCGTGTCACTGCCGGCAATCAGAATCATAAAAAAATATCCGATCTCATTTCTTATTTAGGATCAGTGCCGAAATGTCGTTCCGGAGAGTCAAGGGCGGATAATACAACTTCGGAAATAAGGGAACCGCCCCGTAAACGGTTCCGTGAGACCATCGAGGATGATAGAAAACGCAAAAGACCACTCATGTGTTATAATTGTGGAAAAAGAGGTCATATCCAGAAATTTTGCATTGAAGTTAATAAAAATGACGAAACACAGAAAAATTCATCTCCTGCAAATTATTTGAAGTCATCTAAGGTAACCTCTGAGTTAGTGTGTTCCTTCTGTGCTAAAAGTGGACATAAAATTGATGATTGTTTTATAAAAAAAGGGGATCGAGAAACGCCGTAATGTGAATCGTTGCAGTAGTGGTAAATCAGGTACTACCGAGGTGATGACGGTCAATGGAATAACGATGAAAGGCATTGTAGATACGGGTGCTGATATTTCATTAATCGCTCGAAAACATGCTGAAAAGTTTCAGGATAAACTAATACCCACTCTCACCACAATTAGCGGTGTATTACCTGGCTGTTATGTTTCTGAAAAATCGTTAATTGCTGACTTTGAGATGTCCGGTGTAAGAACAGAACTCACATTCATTGTTGTGCCTGATAGTTTTCTCGAAAACGACGTATTGGTGGGCTGCAATCTTTATGACGATCCCGACATCGTGACAATCACAAATTATGCTGGTACCAAAATTGTCAAGAACAAAGTTGCTAGAGTTCTTGATATCTTGCCGAATGCTGAAGATCTTGAGGTGGATGTACCAGATATACACAAGTCCAAATTGTTGAAACTTCTTTCCCATTATAGAGACATTGTAGCGGCTAGTGCAAACGCTGTCACCTATGTAAATAACACCTCAATGCACATAAGACTTCGCGATGACTTCGTTGTTAATAGAAGCCCTTACCGATTATCAATAAATGAAAGGAAAATTGTTCAAGACATTGTTAATGACCTGTTAAATAACCGTATCATTCAGGAAAGTGAATCGCCTTTTGCCAGCCCCATAATACTCGTCAAAAAGAAGGAGGGTTCTTATAGAATGTGTGTTGATTTTCGTGCGCTCAATCAACATACAATCAAGGATCGATACCCCTTGCCGTTGATAGACGACCAATTGGATCGCTTGGGAAAGAGCAAAGTGTTCACCTCCTTAGATATGTCTTCCGGATTTCATCAAATTCCATTGGATTCTGAATCAGTTCATAAGACTGCATTCGTAACGCCAGACGGGCACTTCGAATATTTACGCATGAAATTTGGCCTAGCCAATGCCCCGGCAGTTTTTCAAAGGGCAATAAATAAAGCATTGGGGAATCTCAGGAATACGGTAGCACTGGTATACCTTGACGATGTTCTGATACCGTCCGAAACTGTTGAAGAAAATTTGGCATCATTGGATCTAGTATTGCAAGCACTCAAAAATGCAGGATTTTGATTTTGATATAGTTTATAAAAAAGGGTGTTCATTGCCACATGTAGATTTTTTGAGCAGGAATCCCGTAATTCGCTGTCTGAAGAAATATAACAATTGGTTATATATTGAGCAACGTGGAGATAATGAGGTTAAAAGATTGCTAGATGACTGGAAGGAAGGGCGCTTGGACAAAACTCGTTATTCTGTCAAAAATGATATACTACATTACAATATATCTACATCTGAGGGATCCGTTTCCAAGCCTTTTGTACCCCGACAAAGCAGATTGGGCTTGTTAAGGATATTTCATGATGAACAGTGTCACGTTGGCATTGACAAAACCTTAGAATCAATAAAAATACACTTTTGGTTCCCACGTATGCGATACTTTGTTACAAAGTATATAAAGCATTGTCTCATCTGTGCTGTGAAGAAAACTAGGTCTGGTCCATTACATGGCTTCGTCACAAGAGTCGAAAAACCGTCTGAGCCCATGAACATCATTCATGCCGATTGTTTAGGTCCCTTAGAAACTACAAACGAGGGACATAAGCACATTTTGGTATTAATCGATGCGTTTACAAAGTATTGCATACTGTTGCCGTTGAAGACTGTCAAAGCCTGCGAAACGAAAGAAGCTTTTCAGTTGTTCATATCTCTGTTTGGTACGCCGAAGCAAATCATTATGGATGCAGGTAAAAACTTCAAGAACTTGAGCCTCCCAGAATACTTGGACTCCTTGGGCATCAGTTACCATTATACTACCCCCGATGTACACAGGTCCAATGGACAAGTAGAGAGATATATGAGAACAATAATGAATCTTCTGCGAATTGAAACAAAAGTTCGGTCAGAATGGTCGAGTGGTTTATGGAAAATTCAGTTGGTTTTGAATACGACTGTGCAGAAGTCAATAGGAACAACACCACTTCGAGCTTTAATTGGCATTGATGGTTCTACTCCACTCATCCAAAGTTTGCTGGCTAACTTAAGTTCTGATCTACAGCCAATCAGAAATTTACAACTCGATCGTAGTAGAATGAAGGATCGTATGGAGTCGTTAGCAGAGGCTAAAATCAAGGAGAATGAAAAACGCCGAAATACCAAAACCTTCAGCATTGGAGATTTTGTCCTTATGCACCGTGATGATAAGATGCACCAAGGTAAATTGAAGTATGAATTCCAGGGACCTTTTGAAATTGTGGGTATCACACCAAAAGGTCGATATGAAATGAAGAGAGTTGGTAAATCTCTTGTAACTAAGGCTGCTAAAGAACAATTGAGGAGTTGGCCTAGCGATTGGTCTATGACTGTGAACATGGAGGAGCTTCTTGAAGATTTAGAGGATGAGTAAGTAGTCTGGATATTGGCCAGTGTTAGAATGTAGTTTGTGACGTCAGAAATATATTTTGCATGTATTTATCTGGTGTTTAAAGCTTGGTACGCTTTGCACGCAATTGTTTCATGTTTTAAAGCTTGCTACGCTTTGCATGTGCTTATCTGGTGTTTAAAGCTTGGTACGCTTTGCACGCAATTGTTTCATGTTTTAAAGCTTGCTACGCTTTGCATGTATTTGTCTGGTGTTTAAAGCTTGGTACGCTTTGCACGCAATTGTTTCATGTTTTAAAGCTTGCTACGCTTTGCATGTGCTTATCTGGTGTTTAAAGCTTGGTACGCTTTGCACGCAATTGTTTCATGTTTTAAAGCTTGCTACGCTTTGCATGTGCTTATCTGGTGTTTAAAGCTTGGTACGCTTTGCACGCAATTGTTTCATGTTTAAGAGCTTGCTACGCTTTGCATGTGCTTATCTGGTGTTTAAAGCTTGGTACGCTTTGCACGCAATTGTTTCATGTTTTAAAGCTTGCTACGCTTTGCATGTATTTGTCTGGTGTTTAAAGCTTGGTACGCTTTGCACGCAATTGTTTCATGTTTTAAAGCTTGCTACGCTTTGCATGTGCTTATCTGGTGTTTAAAGCTTGGTACGCTTTGCACGCAATTGTTTCATGTTTTAAAGCTTGCTACGCTTTGCATGTGCTTATCTGGTGTTTAAAGCTTGGTACGCTTTGCACGCAATTGTTTCATGTTTTAAAGCTTGCTACGCTTTGCATGTATTTGTCTGGTGTTTAAAGCTTGGTACGCTTTGCACGCAATTGTTTCATGTTTTAAAGCTTGCTACGCTTTGCATGTGCTTATCTGGTGTTTAAAGCTTGGTACGCTTTGCACGCAATTGTTTCATGTTTTAAAGCTTGCTACGCTTTGCATGTATTTGTCTGGTGTTTAAAGCTTGGTACGCTTTGCACGCAATTGTTTCATGTTTTAAAGCTTGCTACGCTTTGCATGTGCTTATCTGGTGTTTAAAGCTTGGTACGCGTTGCACGCAATTGTTTTATGTTTTAAATCTTGCTACGCTCTGCATGTATTTATCTGGTGCGTTATGCATTCTTACTTAATGTAATTGTTTATAAAGTCAAGTTTGACTTTGTGGTATTGTTTCAGTGAGGAAGAACCAGAGATTGCAGATGGAACTGAAGCAAGGAGTGAATGATTACGTTGTCTGTTATTATTGTTTGCGATGTTTGTTATTTGTTATAATGTTACTAATTTCTGAATTTGTTTAATACAAGAATATTTTCTTTCTGAGTATTTTGTCTTTACTTCGTTGCTACAAATCAGGCTGTTATACAATTAACGTCGAGAACGACTTTGTACTCAGGTTGGCCGTGTTAGAATCAAAATAATGAAATTACGGACGTTAATTTTTGACAGACAAATTTAGTAAATACAACCCCGACCGCCCACGGTCGGCACGCCGGTGGTCGATCGAAGCCAGTCTGTGCGTACCGCTCGAATAGTACGGAGCCTGTCGTGGTCTGTGTTTTGCTAGTTGTCTTATCTTATCACCAAAATTCTATCACTAGATATCTTATGAATTCTGCACCTTCCCAGAAACCTGGAAATTTCCTCATGTCGAACCTTTTTTTTGGCACTACAACATTGCGTCCCATTAGCCAGATCCAATCTTGTATATGTATATCTCTAATTATGGACAAACACACGACGTCACAACGTCCATGGCGAAGGCGAGATTCGAACTCGCGGCCCGGCCGGCCGGCTGA